CATCCAACTACTAATTTACAGGTAATATAGAAGATAGAGGAACTTGTTAAACTGCATCAAGGAAATACAGTCAACAAAACCCAGTCTGTGGGAAGCTTTAGGATAGGTGATCCAATATATTCAACAAATTGCAATGGAAAAAAGAGATGGTGAGAGAACCAACAGATTAAAAACAGGAAAAATTAAACCATAGCACTTAGGTATTTATACTTCAGTAATAAAAAAATAAATAAAAGTAAGGAAGTGATTAATGTAAAAGAGTAGTGGTTTCTGTTGGTTGGCATGAGGGTAATGGCATTGGGAGGGAGTACATGAAGGCTTCTGTGGTGACTCACATGGTCCTGTCTCCTGATCTATGTGTTGCTTCTAAGTTCATTTAGCTGTGTATCTCTGAGTTTGGTTTTCCATGTTTGTGTTATATTTAATAGTAAAAGTCAAATAAAAAAACAAGGAGGGAAAGGAAATTGATTGGAGGGGAGGCAGCTATATTGGGAAATTGGTGAGAATTGATGCCTTATAGATCAATTTATAATAGCTTAGACTTATTAACTAAGAATTTTATTAAATGCTGTTCTCAGAAGATTCAACATAATCTGTAAGTGTAGAGCCATTAAAGTTTACTAAAAAGGAGGTTGGAGTGCTGAAAACTGTGTTTTTTTTTTTTTTTGAGACAGAATTTCGCTCTTTGTTGCCCAGGCTGGAGTGCAATATCATGATCTCGGCTCATCGCAACCTCCGCCTCCCGGGTTTAGCAATTCTTCTGCCTCAGCCTCCCAAGTAGTTGGGATTACAGGCATATGCCACCACACCCGGCTAATTTTGTATTTTTAGTAGAAGCGGGGTTTCTTCATGTTGGTCAGGCTGGTCTCGAACTCCCGACCTCAGGTGATCTGCCTTCCTTGGCCTCCCAAAGTGATGGGATTATAGGTGTGAGCCACTGTACCTGGCCCAAAAACTGCGTTTTTAAGAAGATAAATCTGGCTGGGTGGATTTCAATGAGAGACTTGAAAGCTAGCCAAGAAACCACTATGTTAAGGTAATGGTGATAAAGATTTGGATTAGGGTGGTGCTTGTAGGAATAGAGGTAAAATAACAACTCTTATTTTATGCAGTAGGATAGTTGGTAAGACTTGGTGACAGATTAAGTATGGTTGCTAAAAATAAAAACAGTAGAAATAAAGATTGCATGTTTTGAGAGCATATCACTTTGTTGGGTGGGATTAGGGAATTCTGGATGACAATCATAGAGTAAGAGCTTAATTTCTTCTTACGATGTATTTAAAATCTCAGAGGAATGGTTGCTAGGGATTCAACGTTCCAAATTGTTTATCTAAAAATGTCAGTTCTAACAGGTTAGACACTGATAATGTTTCCAGTGCAAGATATCCAGCTTACTGGTGTTGAATCCGTATGGGTCTGCAGCAACCTCAATTTTTGCCTCCTTAGAAGAAAGAATTCGACTGAGGGGCATAAGGCAGAAAAAGAGACCAAGGGACATTTCAGAGCAGGAGTGGAAGTTTGTTTAAAAAGGCTTTAGAACAGGAAAGAAAGAAAGAAAAGTATGCTTGGAAGAGTTCCAAGAGGGCACTGAGGTCAAGTGCAGTGTTTAACCTTGATGCGAGAACTTAAGAGCCTGGCTCCTTTCCCATGATTCTTCCCTTAGGATGGGCTACCTGCATGCCCAGTGCCCTCCTTACCCTTAAGAGGTGAGCACACGCATTGTGTTTAGAAATTTGTATGCATGCCTACCTGAGGCTTTGTTCCTTTTTCTGGTGGAGTGCCCCCGGAAGGTCAGACTCACCATTTTGTGTCTTAAAGCACATGCCCTGGAAGTTGCTTCTCCCTGGCCTTTGCATTCAATTAACACTTCAGTGCACCAAGTGTGGACCATCAGGAAATGTCTTCTCCCTGGCACTGGCTGCCAATTTATCAGTTTTAGAGAGGCAATGTGATAACTTCCAAACCATCAACTGACATTCCTAGTGGGTGGGGCAATAGCCCTCTCCTGCCCCACTCTTGATTGTCTAACTACCTGCAACAATAACAGTAATTGTTTTTGTTAAGTACATAGTTGGGACAGAGATACGAGGGTGACTTTTCAGTGTTATTTCCTTTTGTTTCTTGAATTTTGAATCATGTGCTTGTATTATCTGTTCAGAAAATGAATAATATTTAATTAAAAGATAGAGATGCCCCAATTGTCAATCTCCATGGGAAAAATTGTCCTTTTTTTTTTTTTTTAAATTTAAATATTTCAGACTAGTTTGTCTGAAAAGCAGTCAGGTAAACATGTTTAATACTTGATTGACTTTGACTTACATGTGTTTGTAAATATATGTTTGCTTTATGTTTGAGTATGGTATATGCATACATATGGTATATTGCTTGTGAATACACGGGTGTGGCTGTGTGTGGCTCTGGTGTATGTATTTGTTGTGGGAAGTCAGGGACCCTGAATGGAGGGGCTGGCTGAAACCATGGCAGAAGAACATAAATTGTGAAGATTTTATGGACATTTGTTAGTTCCCCAAATTAATACCTTTATAATTTCTTACGCCTGTCTTTACTGCAGCCTCTGAACATAAATTGTAAAGATTTCATGGACATTTACCACTTCCCCAGTCAATACCCTTGTGATTTCCTATGCCTGTTTTTACTTTAATCTCTTAATCCCGTAATCTTCGTAAGCCAAGGAGGATGTATGTCGCCTCAGGACCCTGTGATGATTGCATTAACTGCACAAGTTGTTTGTAGAGCATGTGTGCTTGAACAATATGAAATCTGGGCACCTTGAAAAAAAAACAGGATAACAGCAATGTTCAGGGAACAAGGGAGATAAGACTTTAAACTCTGACTGCTGGTGAGCCGGATGGAACAGAGCCATATTTCTCTTCTTTCAAAAGCAAATAGGAGACATATCACTGAATTCTTTTTCTCAGCAAGGAATATCCCTGAGAAAGAGAATGCGCTCTAAGGGTAGGTCTATAAACTGCCCCCTTGGAGGTGGCTGTCTTTTATGGTCGAAGCCGAAGGGATGAAATAAGACCCGGTCTTCTGTAGCACTCCTAGGCTTATTAGGACAAGGAAATTCCTGCCTAATAAATTTTGATCAGACAGGTTGTCTGCCCTCAAACTGTCTCCTGATAAGACATTATAAATGACAATGTGTGCCCGAAACTTCATTAGCAATTTTAATTTCGCCCCATCCTGTGGTCCTGTGATCTCACCCTGCCTCCACTTGCTTTGTGATATTCTATTACCTCGTGAAGCATGTGATCTCTGTGACCCACACCCTATTCATGCACTCCCTCCCCTTTTGAAAATCGCTAGTAAAAACTTGCTGGTTTTATGGCTCAGGGAGCATCACGGAACCTGCCGACATGTGATGTCTCCCCTGGACACCCAGCTTTAAAATTTCTCTATTTTGTACTCTTTCCCTTTATTTCTCAAACCAGCAGAGACACTTAGGGAAACAGAAAAGAACCCATGTTAACTATTGGGGGTGGGTTCCCCCGATACGTATTTATTTCACCCATAAAAGAATGTTTATACCTGGAGGCTCTGGGACCCTGGCTTCTCAGAGCTTTTAATTCTTATTGCCACCATGTAGGATTTTTCTCCTTAAACAGGGGAGATGTCCTTGCTTCTCAGTTAACCTCGGGGCCATTCAAAAATGGTTGTGATGCAGCAGTATGGAATGTCTCTCTTTCCTTTGTAATCACTACTGAGGCTGAAGATCACTACATATTGGTTATTCAGTATGTCACCCTGTACTGCACTCTCCCTCATGCAACTGCTGTGAATCCAGCTTCTGTAATAAAGTGTCCTAAAATACATGAACCTTTATTTCTTACCTCAGCCTTTTGATAGGTAAAGACCCAGTATTAGATCTGGAAAAAGGAATAGGAAGTGTGTGAAATAGTTTTGTTTTGTTGTTTATGTATTCTCTCTTTTATAATTTATTAGGGATTAAAAACCACCACGCACGGTGGCTCACACCTGTAATCCTAGTACTTTGGGAGTCTGAGGCAGGAGGTTCACCTGAGCCCTGTAGTTTGAGAGCAGCCTGGGAAACATGGCAAAACCTCATCTCCACAAAAAATACAATTAGCCAGGCATGGTGGCACGTGCCTGTAGTCCCAGCTACTTGGGAGGCTGAGGCAGAAGGATCGCTTTAGTCCAGGAGGTAGAGGTTGCAGTGAGGTGTGATCATGCCACTACACTCCAGTTGGGGCAACAGAGTGTGACCCTGTTCTCCAAAAAAAAAAAGAAAATCATGAAATTGAGAGAAGTTTTAAGACTACTCCTGCAGGATATAGGAAAGAGAAGCTGGGATTGTAAATAACAGGAGGCAGTAGTAGGAAGCTGAGCAGCCTAGCTTAGTGATTGTCAATTTTGACTGCACATTGGTACCACCTGGGAATATTAAAAACATAAAAACATAACTCATGCTTGGTTTTCACCCATAGAGATGCTGATTTAGTTGGTCAGGGCTGTGGCCTGGGCATTGGAACATTTTCAGTCTACCCACTTGAATTAGTAGTCAAGACTGGTAACCACTGGCCTAGAGAAGAAAACTGGTTTAGGACTGAAAGAATCCTTGGCTCTCACAGTGCCTCAATTCCAAGTTCTCCCCACTTGGGATGAATTGGAGTTATTGTAAAATGTAAATATAGTACTTTTGTGTGTTCCCTAGGACATTTGATGCTTTTTAAGACTTGTGATTATTTAGGTTTGTGGTTGGTGGGAAACAAAAAATGCATGAGTGCATCTTTAGCATCTGGAAAGAATGGGTAGATTCACATATTAAGTACAGTGTGAACCACTGTGCTTTTTTTTTTTTTTTAAATGTAATTTAAGTCCCAGGATACATGTGCAGGTTTGTTACATAGGTAAACATGTGCCATGGTGGTTTGCTGCACCTATGCTTGTTATTACTATTTATTAATAGTAATAAAGCTTCATGGATCAGCTAACTTAACATTGTGATGTTTACACAGGTTGCCTGTGATTTGCTTCGGAGAATTATTCGTATCTTGAATCTCAGTAAGAGACTCCAAGGACAACTGCAGGGGGGAAGTAGAGAGATAACAAAAGCTGCTCAGAGTCTCAATGAACTTGGTAAGTGTTTTTTTTTTTTTTTTTTTTTATTAAAAAGTAGAGATTTAAATATTTTTGAGTACATTGATTGATTTTTGTTATCACCATTAACAAGTACTGTTAAATTTTAAAATAATTGGCTGTATACAATATTAACACTTCTCAGAATGAGTAAGTACAGTTAGTTGATTTCACTGAAATGCTATTTATTTTAATTGTATAGTAAAATTGGCCTTTTTCATATACAGGTCTGTGAATTTTAACATATACATAGATTCATGTAAGCACCATTACAGTCATGATGCAGAACAATTCCATCACTCCCCCAGATTCTCTCCTTATTCCTTCAAGATGATGCCCACTCGCTTCCGCTAATCCTGGCAACCACTGATCTTTTCTCCATCATTGTAGTTTTGTCTTTTTGAGAATGACATGTAAATGGAATTACAAAGTAGGTGACCTTTTGAGGCTGTCTTCTTGTACTCAAAATAATACCTTAGAGATTTATTCAAGTTTTGGAGTGTACTAATAGTTTGTTACTTTGTGTTTGATTGAGTAAGATTGCATGGGTAGCCTGCAGTTTGTTTATTGATTCACTGATTGAAGGACATTTGTGTTGTTTCCAGTTTTTGGTGATTATGAATAAGTGTACAGGTCTTTATGTGAAGTTTTCTTTTCTCTAGGAAATATTCTAGAGAAATGCTGCTTTTAAGATGACAACTCCCATGCTGATACTATGCCTAGAAGATTTTAAAAATTTATTTCTTTGTTCATTCTTTTCTCAGACATTTATTGCAGGACCTTGACAGTCAAGGGTTTAATGTTCATGGTTTTGACTATTAACCAGCTGCAAAGTCCATGATGCAGCAATTCATAATTTTTCAGACAAAATTTGAATAGCTAGTGAGTGCACATAGAACTGCCCAACTCTGTGTTTTAATGAGGCTTGGTAGTTTTCTTCTTTTCACTGGGTACCCACTAATTTTTCTGAAGTGGATATATGTAGTGGTATTTGTACTTTATAGACTCAGAAGTCTTTAATTGTATCCATTTCAGATATCAAGAGTCTGCTTACTCTTGGTATTGTGCTTTGAAAGCAGTTATGCCAAAATAGTATCAGAGAAATGTGCATTATGTGTTCTTTCTGAATTTTCCTGTCTTTGATTTTTTGATTATATAGTCATGCTATGCTGTAATGCTTATTCCATATTTTTTATTAATCAAGGAAATCTATCCTTCACAAATAATGCTTCAACAGCATTACGATTTTATACTGCTGAAATACAGGTTTTGCTTAGGAAAATCATTGGGAATATCTCTAACTTGTGATTTAGTAGGCTTGGAAAATGTCATATGAAAAGTTAAACTTTTAAGCTGGGTATGGTGGCTGGTACCTGGAGGCCCAGTTAATCGGGAGGTAGAGGCAGGCAGAATTGCTTGAGGCCAGGAGTTTGAGACTAGCCTAGGTGAACAGAACTGATTTCCTCTTGCTCTAAAAAATAAAAATTGAGAAGTAAAGAAAATTAAAATAAAAATTGAGCATTGTAGCATGTATCTGCAGTCTCAGCTACTTGGGAAACGGAGATGGGCGGATCACTCGAGCCCACAAGTTAGAGGTTGCAGTGAGCTGTTATTGCACCACTGCTCTCCAGCCTGGGTGACACAGCAAGATCTTGCCTCTTAAAAAAAAAAGTTAACTTTAAACAGTGAGTAATGCTTGTGTGTTGTTTTCACAGTATTATCTAAACATAGAAGGGTAAAAATCCAAGTATCAGCCACTGTTTTGCTCTATCACATTTAATATCTGTGCACCAACAATAGTGGGTAGGATTACGGAATCATTAAACATAGATGCATATTATTCCAAGGCTTATTATGGATGTTTGTCATCACTGACACTCCTTCAATATTAAAAAAGTGCTAAATTTTGATTGGATTATAATTATAATTTCTTCTAGAATTGACAGATTCTGTAATACAAATGGTGATGTCTTTGAAAAAAACAAAACAAAACAGGCATAGCTGGGCACAGTGGCTCATGCCTGTAATATCATCACTTTGGGAGGCTGAGGTGGGCAGATCATGAGGTCAAGAGATCGAGACCATCCTGGCCAACATGGTGAAACCCTGTCTCTACTAAAAATACAAAAATTAGCTGGGCGTGGTGGTGCGTGCCTGTAATCCCAGCTACTCAGGAGGCTGAGGTAGGAGAATCACTTGAACTCGGGAGGCAGAGGTTACAGTGAGCCAAGATCGTGCCACCGCACTCCAGCCTGGTAACAGAGCGAGACTCTGTCAAAAAAACAAAAACGAACAAACAAAACACAAAAAAGGCACAAGTATTGATCATAATGTTCTGAGTATAATGCAGAGGGTAAAACCATTATCCTTCCAATGTTGGCTTTACCTAAAGTTTTTTTTTTTTTTTTTTTTTTTTTTTTTTTTTTTTTTTTTTTTTTTTTGAGACGGAGTCTAGCTCTGTCACCCAGGCTGGAGTGCAGTGGCCGGATCTCAGCTCACTGCAAGCTCCGCCTCTCGGGTTCACGCCATTCTCCCGCCTCAGCCTCCCGAGTAGCTGGGACTACAGGCGCCTGCCATCTCGCCCAGCTAGTTTTTTTGTATTTTTTTAGTAGAGACAGGGTTTCACCGGGTTAGCCAGGATGGTCTCGATCTCCTGACCTCGTGATCCGCCCGTCTCGGCCTCCCAAAGTGCTGGGATTACAGGCTTGAGCCACCGCGCCCGGCCGGCTTTACCTAAAGTTTTTATAAAGATTGTTAAAAAGTTTTTGAGAAAATATAGTTCATGGTGGAATGATCACAAAGTGGATTGTATTAATCTAATTTTTAAAAGCTTTGCAGATGATGTGTGATTTAATATTTGCAAAGACATCATGTCTTTTTTATTCACCACTGTAGTTCAGTCTTGACTAGTCCGGGCATTTATAACTAATAAGGAGAAGCCAAGGAAAAATAAGTTGCTACCTTTGGAATTAATATTTGAATAAAAGTAATAATTTTGCGATCACTATTACAATTACACATGTACACTAAATGACACTTCTGTGATTGGAACATCTCTAAAATTGTCAGTGTCTTTATCAATATGGTTCTGTTTTTCATTAGAAAGAGTGAAATGATGAAGAGTAACAGTGTTTATACCATAGACCCTTGAAATTAACTTAAAAGCAGTCTTTCAAACTTGAAAGGTTTTGAGGCTTGATTTGGGACACCCAGATGAAACACATTGTCATCTGGAAATTAAGTATATTCTATGAGACTGGGGTATGGAGTGACTACTAGTGGATGCAGATTTGTTTTTAGGGTGATGAACATGTTCTGGAATTAGATAATGGTGACTTTTGTGCCACCTTGTCAGTGTACTAAAAACCACTGCATTGTACACTTTGAAAGGGAGAGTTTTATGTTATGTAAATTTGAAATTCTTCAGTGTTGTTGTGTGTATTAACACCTTTGCCTTTTTATTATGGACTAGTATTCCATTGATATATCACAGTTGGTTTATCTATTTACATGCTGATGGAGAGTTGGGTTGTCCCTAGTATTTTAGTATTATAAATTAAGCTGCTATGAACATTCATGTACAAATCTTTGTATGAACATATCCTTTCATTTCTCTTGGATAAATACCTAGGATTAGAATGTCTAGATCATACGGTAGGTATATGTTTAGCTTATTTTAAGAAATTGCCAAGGTTATTTTTCAAAGTAGTTGTAATGTTTACATTCTTTTTTTTTTTTTTTTTTTTTTTTTAGACGAAGTTTTGCTGTTTTTGCCCAGGCTGGAGCACAATGGCGCGATCTCAGCTCACTGCAACCTCTGCCTCCTGGGTTCAAGTGATTCTCCTGCTTCAGCCTCCCGAGTAGCTGGAATTACAGGCACCCATCACCATGCCCGGCTAATTTTTGTATGTTTAGTAGAGACGGGGTTTCACCATGTTGACCAGGCTGGTCTTGAACTTCTGACCTCAGGTGAATCACCCTCCTCTGAGTCCCAAAGTGCTGGGATTACAGGTGTGAACCACCACGCCCGGCCAATGTTTGCATTCTTACCAGTAGTATTTGAAAGTTCTACTTCCCCCTACAACCTTGCCAACACATGTTACACTCAGTCTTCTTAATTTTAGTCATTCTAATAGCTATGTCGTGATATCTTGTTTTGAGTTTTCAAAAAAAGCTATAACTAATAAAAGAGTTGAGTAAGATTTCAATATACTAGATAAATATACAAAAAATTAATTGTATTTCTGTATACTCTGTTAGCAACAAGCAATTGGAAATTGAAATTCAAAAATACCACTTATAACAGCATAAAAATATGGCAGACTTAGGGATAAGTCTAACAAAAGGTGTGCAAAACCTGTACACTGAAAACTACAAAATATTGTTGAGAACAAAGAAGACATAAATCAATCAGTCAATGTTGTTCATCAGTTGGAAGACTTAATATTGTTTATTAAGATGTATATTCTTCCCAACTTGATCTATGAATTCAACAGAATTTCAGTTTAAATTCCAGGAGGCTTTTAGAGATTGACAAGCTGATTTTAAAATTCATATGGGAATTCAGAGGATCTAGAATAGCTAGAATAACTTTCAGGAGAAAACAGAGTTGGAAGAATAACCCTACCTGATTTGAAGACTTAGTACAAAGACTCTTTAAAGTAATCAAGGTGTAAAGATCAGTGGAAGACCCACATATATATATGAACAACTGATTTTTGACCCATTTAGTGGAGAAAAAAATAGTCTTTTCAACAGATGGTACAGGAACAATTGGATCTCAATATGCAAAACACTGAACTTGTTTCCATACTTCACTTCATGTAAAAATATTAACTCCAAATGAATTCGTGTCCTAATGTAAAGTATAAAACTACAGAACTTAAAGTAGGCAACTCAGAAGATTTTTTTATTTTCATTTTTATTTTTTTCTTTTCTTCTTTTTAAAAATTTTTAATTTTACTTTAAGTTCCGGGATACATGTGCAGAACATGCAGGTT